GGTGGTTGTGGTTTCCTACCCCTGCAGCAAGAGGTGTTGAATGTTAGAATTATCGTTAAACATAAATCCACCCTAAATGTGGTCTCAACCTTTAATCCATTACTAAAGTCAACTGTTTCTGAAGCTGCTCATAGCTGACCTAAAAATACGGTTTCTTCAGCTTGACTTCAGCATTTTATCTAAAATAGGCTTTTCCATTTGTGTCAAAGAAAGAATTCACTTCATTTTCCTCCTTGGCAGCTCAGTGAAGGTGAATTCCCACTGTTTGAAAGGGATTTGTAGAAGGAATAAATTTGATTTAAAGAAATCAATTGTAGACTTGGGGCTAGGATTTTTTTTTATTTGACATCAAGATATTTGCCTTGAAGTTCTGGTATTTATTTCAAACAAACCTTCAAACAAAACATGGAGAAGCAGCATTACCAGCATCAACCAGGTCCCAGGAACAAGGCAAGCCTTGGGGACATTAACACAAAAGCACCCACGGTCCCCTCAGTTCAGTCCTGTCCCTGCCAGGCTGAGCTCCCAGCCCCAGGCCAGGCCCTGTGGAATTGCACAGGTCAGGATCTAAGGTTACGGCCTGGTTAGGTGGGTTATTGTGGAAAATGAAGGCATTTATGCATCATTTTAAAGGATAATCTTAACAAGCTTTGAAAAGACAGTGCTGCTTCACATCCTTATATTTAAAAAAATAAATAAAATCCCTACCAAAGCTGGTTTTTGTGTGTGAGCCCCATCTAAAGCCCTCTTCCCTTGGGTCCCTAGCCTGAAAGCAGGGATTTCGACAAAATTCTTAAAAAGATAAAAGTCTAGGAAAAAATAAGAGAAATGTATTAAAAATTTGGTTTGAAAGCATATAGAATTAAGGCACAGTTACTTACAACTTTGATGTGAGAGGAAGAGAGGCTGTGGCCGCACAGTTTCAGACTACTAAGCCAATTTAACAGCATTTAAATAAACTCCTTGAATAGGCTTCTAAAGGCTTTTTTCTTTTTAAGCTGCCACTATTGAACATTTCTTCAGTGTGGTTCCCTGTGTAGGATCCAGTGCCCTCACCCCTAACCAGCCTCTGTTTCTGAACCAGATCAATGGTTCCTGGATTTAGCAGCTCACCAGTAAGCTGGTGCTAGGACTTACTCAAATAATTCAGCGATTTTAAGTGTTCACAAGTTACCACAGAGCTGTCCTTAAATTCTTACCTATCACCTTTGAGAAAGCCCAAAGAGTGCGACAGAAGAAAAAGCAAGAAATAACCTTGTAACTTTTTACAGGATTGTAAGGAAGCGTTATCTTCTTGCTTAGGGGAACTGTGGTAGGGAAAAAGAATTAAAAAGTGAGAAAGTAATTTTAAAGACTTTCCTATCTTCCTAGACACTTGCTGAAGACGTCACACCAAAGATTTCTTTATGCAGAGGAAGACTAGCAGGCACTGAATACAAGTGTGTGCATGATAGACATTTATTTCTTTTCTTTTTTTTTTTTTAGATCTATAATAAAGCAGTTTAAAATAGACATCTGGTAGTTGAAACCTTTTCCACATTTTAAATACAAAATTATTCCACTATAAATATACTATTTACATTTAATTTCACATCCTAGAAAGCCTGAGTGGGTACAAAAATAAGTGCTATGATGTAAAGACCTTCTCCTAACTCCATGCTAAATCCTAACCGATTTTATAGCGCTATTAGAATTTCACATAGGCTGTTCCGTTGATTATAGCTGCAGATACTTGGAGAATGCAAAAATACCCAAACCCAGAGTAAAACCAATCAGAGTTCACCCACTACCGACAAGTGCACTTGGTAGCGATCATGTCCTCGTACTCCTTGTAGACGATGGAGCCGTCGGGCTCGATGGTGAGGACGCTCAGCGGGCTGTACTCGGCTGGGACGCAGGAGGGCTTTGGGACAGAGGAGTCCAGTTTCTCGTATATGATGTTCTGTACCACGGTGTGTACCGGGGAGCCGTAACGATGCCTGACAACCCGTGGGCAGTCCCCTTTGCAATACTGAGGGCTGTACCTGTGCGGTGCTATTATCCATTTGTCCCATTTTAGTTGGCTAAAACTCAGACGGAAGTTGTGAAGCTCACACTCGTTTTGAGGGAAGAGAACCTGTTTGAAATACTCACTCAGGTTAGAAGGCGCAATTGCTGGTGCTTCTTTCAGATTCCCATCTCTGCGCTGTCGAGAGGCCCTTTTACCCTGTGAATTCTCCTTTCCTCTGTCACCCATAGGATCGACACGCAGACTGGTCCTTTGCCTGGGCCGCACTGGGTTTTTCCTTCTGTGTCTAAGTGAGTTCCACCTGTGATAAGCCTGTTCACTGGTATCATTCAGATAAAGAAGAAGAGAAGGGGGAACCAGTGCCACATTAATGGGGTTTTCCAGTTTAGTGTTCTGTTGTGGATCACCCAGCAGACAAGTGAAGTTCACAGCCATATGAATATTCCTCCTGTTAGTAGCAATTAGAGGCTGGAGAAAAGAAGTCACATCAATCTCAGCCCACTTGCGTTTTCTAACTTCGAAGTGCAGGCTAAAAGCTATAGAGGGTGAAACGCTGGGACACACTTGGCTAGAAAAATCATGCTCCTTAAGAGATAAATGGCACATGCATGTAATGGGAGAGGAAATAGGAACTGATGTGTCGAAGGAATAGAGCAGGACAGACTTGAGTAAGTGCTCCAGAGCAGTAAGACGATCCAGGTTGAAAAGTAAATCCACCGAGTGAACATGCCCTGAGAAGGGAAACACAACCTTGTACTGTTAGTGCATCTTAATTCTCCACCTAGACGTAAATACTGTCATGTAGTGAATAAGTAGAAATAATTCAGCAGCAGAAGAAACAAGTTTAGATTCCCTCCCTTCCTTTTAATATATGGAATTTCTACTTTGCTCAGAGACGTAAGATTTAAAAGTTAAGAAAGGACAACAAAACCTCTTTTCTTACTTTACTTAGAACTGATCAGAGCTTTCTCTAACTCATAATAAGATGAGTCAGCCTGAACCATTAATATCACCCTGAACTTAGTACCACTTGTGTGGCAGCTCCCAGAGTATAAAGAGGTCTGCATCTAAAACCTTTCAAAGAGGAATAGGTTATGAAAAACTCCCACAGTTTAAGAGAAGAGCCATCAGGATTAGAATAGCAACCACTCTAAAGAAATAAGACATTTTTATGTTATGCTGCAAGCACAGAACACATGGGAAACCCTCATTTAACCTTTGCAGCTCCAGTCTTCCACACCTACCTTTCACTAGGTCCCTGTGGCGGTGCTTGCTTTCAGAACACGGAGTGAAAAGTCGAACAGTGTTGTAAAGGTGGCTTTTTTTCACCTTTGGGATTCCCTCCCTGGTAGCAGACATCTTGTACAGCCTCTTCATGTACCGGAGGGCTCTGGAGTCTGGCTGGAGCCTGGGGGCCTCGCTTTCCCAGCTCTGGCGTCCCCGGTCAGACAGCACCTTGAGAAGGGGAGGCAGGAGGCCATAGCCACGTCTCACACTTTTTGGCAGCTGCAGCAATGGATTTAGCTCGCTGGCTGTGTCCTCAGGAGCTACCAGTAACCCAGAGGGCTTGCCCAAGACCACCCGGCCCCTGGAGGAGGCCAAGCACTGGATGCTAGGAGAAAGCCAATAAAGACAGCAGTAGAAATAAACTCTCCAGGTACTCTCCATGCTCTTTAGGGCTGCAACTAAAGAAGAAAAAAAACACCTCCCCTAAAATCTTCAGGGGCCTGATACCTTATATATGTGGCAGCTGTGGGATGGGAGGGAGGGTGCTCTCTGATTAGAGAGCAGAGAGAAAGACCTGCAGCTGGCCACTGAGCCCCGGCCTTGTTTGCATTCAGGGCAGAGCCTTTGCCGTAAAAGCACGTTATAAACAAAATCCTTATTCTTCGAGTTAACCTTTTTCATGTGGTAAATTATAAGAGTGTGTGCTGCCTCCAGAGGGAGCCGGGGAGACGAGTTAGTGCCGGCTACTTTAACTAAATCCATGTTTATTTGCAGAAATACATTGTGCATTTATTACTTATTGCTTTTAGCAATCGTTGCTAATAAAAAAAAATGGTTTTCATTTTCTGTTAAAGTATTTCTCACCTTTCGCTTCTCTGCAGACGGTAATACTTGCTTGAGAGAGAGGTAACTGTGGCTGTGGTACAGTTTGTTTTCATTCCAGCACACAGCACGTATTTATCTCCAGTCTGAGGTAAAGCATCCAAAAAGCAGAGTGCTTTTTCCATCGGCATCAGCTGTCTGTGGAGTGTGCTCCAAAAGACCCCAAATAGAGGAATATTGAATGCATCAGAAATATTCAGAGACTCTTGTAGATGAACGTAACTAAAGGAATGAGGTTCAGTTTTATTTAATTAGTGAAATACAGGGAAAAATGTGTTTTTGTGACAGTTGTTTTTAATTAGAGCTATGCTATCAATAATCTAGTGAAATGTCACCCCTAATCTAACTTTCACATCTTAAGGCTTCTGAGTAAGGATTGCTTGCTCAGAGAGAGTTTAATTAACTTACAAAAATGTCAGTCTGGCATTCTTTGACTTGGAGTGGAGGGTTCAATCAGATAACAACCTATAATATGAAACAATATAACCTTTTCTGCTAGATTTCTTGAAGCTGATTTGATTATGATAACAGGGGGATGCTGTCCCTTCTAAGGTCAGCTGTCTTCAAACTCTTTTGGACAAGGTGATCTGTACTTTGATTTATTTTAAAAACGTATCCTTCAGTCAGGCTTGCTTGCACCAGACAAGCTCATCTGCTCCTTTCCCTGTGGGTTTGAATTAATCCCACCTTACCTTAGCTTCAAACACATCTAGCTACAATTTCTGCTGCTCCGTGACACTTTAAGCTGCTCTTCAACCCTGCCCTCATCCACAAACCAAATGTGAATTCCTGCTCTCTCCTTTGCGCTGATTTTTGATGGTTTTGATCTTGTGGTGAGTCCGATGAGGGAGCTGAAGTGGTAGAAGGGTAACCCAACAAAAAGTGAGTATTTGCTTTACCTTACTGAAACCATTGGGCAAGATGAGAACAATTAAACCTCTCTTGAATGATTCAGGGCTCAACAGGACATGAGTGGGAATGTTTGATAGGTCGGTTGATTTGACTGTGGTGTGTTGACTGCTCGACCCTGTAGAAAATGTGATGATTTTCAGTGCATAAATAGGAGCTGAAATGCTCTGAGAGCCACTTTAGGAATGTGGGGATTCTTATGCTTGTAGGTAGTTGGAAACACATGGACACAAGCATTTATGATATTAAAGACTTGTTCAGCAAAACACAGTGTCCAAGAAGATTAGTTTCGTCATATCTCTTTAAAATCCAGACCGTTATTAGATTGATTGATAGTCTCCTGTTTGATATGTCTTAAATATTTATTCTCTCTGTTATTAATCACTAGATTGTTGCAGCAGAAACTGTATTATCCTTTTTTTAATCACTGGGAAACACTGAGCGAGTGCCTCGTCTGTACTACCACAGGGTAGTAACACTTTTTAAATTCCTATAAAGCAGAGCTGAAGAATGTGTAGCTTTGCCCTGTGGCCAGATCATGACGTTGGTTTGTTTCCACAAGGGAGCGAAAGCATTAATCACAGGTGTAGCTGTTATGCCCTGATAAACAGAGTGTTTTCATTTTGGCTGGCCGAGCTGAGTCAGTGGACTTTGAAATACAAGAAGGATCAGGTGCTTTCGGCAGGGCTCATTAATAATGTTGCAGAAACTTAGCTGACGGCCCATGCAGGGTGACAGCTGAGTTCTGTGTCTGCTGCACAGATGTGAGCCGGAGCCTTTTCTAACAGTTTAAAAAGAAATGTTTCCTGTTACTTCTAATAGCTTCTTCCTGCCATAAACCAAAAAGATCAAACAAATTACTTTAAAGAACCGATGCATTTATACATATGTCATTGTTTGACAAGGCAGAATCAGAGCTAAAAAGCTATGTACCACTGATTTTATTACTACGGTGTAAAACAGATTTTTTTCAATCACTGGTGATAGCAGCCTCTGCTCAAGTCAGCCCATTTTTATCTCCTTAAGGACAACATCAGCCATCCCTGACTGGTGATAGCCAGAAGACTGGGCTCTGTGTGCCTTTGTTCCTAACTGCCTTCTCTTACCAGATCGTTGCAGTGTCTGTGTGGTCATACCTGCTGTTTTCAGCTTCCAGCGACAAAGCAGCTGAGATTGTTCCCATTCCTCATCATATTTATAACTGTCCCTTGGAAGCCTTATTTTCCTAGCTGAAACATCAGCCTTCTTGAAGAGCATGGAAAAGAAGTGAGACATCTCAGACATAGACATAAGCTGTGGCACTGATGGATATTTTATGAATTCCTTTTTTCTTGCAGACTGTTTCTCCTACTGCCTATGCAGCTTTGCATGTATCATTTCTTTTCTTCACATTTTAATTTACCATCACTTTATCATCGTTATTTATAGAACCTAGACATTTCCCTAATGGACCATAAGCCCATTCGCCTGTGTGCTGCATGAACATGGACTAAACTGCCCAGAGAGTTTGTAATCTAAATATAGAACAAGAGAATGGACTTAGCATATGAACAGTTATCTTCTATTTATCAGCATCATAGAAAAGCAGAGTTTTAGAGATTTAAAGAAGATTATAGGAGAGCATTGCTGCTGTTTGCAGCAGGGGCAGCATGAAGATTTGTTTGCAAATGGTGAACAGTGGAAGCTGGCCCCACAAGAAGGAGGTGGCAGAGCACACTGGTATGTCCCTCACCTGATAAGGATGCTCTGAGGATGAACATATTAAACATTATGAACCATTCAAGCATAGCATAGTGATAATTTTTTAAGGACCTGGAGTAGATAATCACATCTCAGCACACAGCCACGATCATGACAGAGTCTCAAGTATTGTTTGGTGCCTGCAGGATGTTGCTGTAATAGGTAAGAAACCAGCAGCAGAGATGATGTACTTTAGAGCACTGGTGAAATACTGTGTTTTTCCCACAGTAATCAGTTTTTAGATCCTAAAACAATTAATAACTTACAAGTTATAATTGTCGCAGTTCCTCGGGCAAGGGAAAAACCTGCATAAGGAGGATGTGCTCAAGAGGGTCTCTCTGTTTATGTTCCCACTGCGCTCCCCAAAGCACCAGGATGAGGAAAGATCATTCTGGTGGTTGCCTCCAGCGAGGAAGGTGAGAAGGGGAGGGAGATGTGCTCTGTGGTGTACCTGGCAGCAAGGAGCGCTCAGAAGAGAAATACCTTTCCTCCAGGGCTGCCTCCCACTTTCTCTGTACCCAAAGACAACTGAACTGCCACCCCATGGCAGAAACAGTATTGCTTTACTGAACATTTTAATATCTCCTGCATTTTATATTGGATTAGGAAACTGTGACCAAAAGTGAAACCTCATCTTTGCTTTGCTGTACTATTATATGTCAAGAAAAATAAGTAACCCTTTCAAGTGCTACAGAATATTAGCTCATAGCTGAAACAGCTTGGTCTGAGTTTGCTGTACAAAGATGCAGCGATAAACACGATGGCTTCTTAGAGGATGCAGAGGAAGGCAGCGCCAAGCTGGAGTCATGGCACGTTTCAGGGCTTCTGCTGGCGTTCCCTTGGGCATGTTGCCTTCTTGCTATCTTCCATGGCACTGCTCTACACTGACCTTGTGGACACTTTGTACAATTCATAAATGTTCCTGGCAGGGTAATCAGTTGGTTGGTTCATTTAGTACATGAGTTTAGCGGCTCAAATAGGCAGCAGTGTGAGAAAAGTTATGCTTCATCCCGTTGTGAAAACAAATGATTAGCAAAGAGCAAGCTGGCACCCAGCCGCTGAAAACGAGCCCAGTTTTCCCTTTGCTGCTGGTGACCACTTGGATATTGGTGTGGTATCTTTGTCAAACCTCTTCAGTTGTCCTGATGTGAGGGTACACACTTCTGGAGAGCTTTCTTAGAGCTCTTCTGTACCAAGAGTTTGGTTTACAACTCATTCACAGATTGCGTTTCATCATCCGTGTGACCGTTGGGGAAGAATGCAGGTATTCGATGCTGGAGTGTGGCACTCAAGATTTTACCTGCTAAGCAAATATCACATGGAAAACTAGCAGGTTTCTCCTTGTTGTAATCAGATATTCTTTAAAAAAATAATGAGAGCTCTTTCTCTGAAAAGAAACAACAGCTGCAGAAAAGAGCAGAGCAAGGTGTGTGTTTTTTACTGTAAGGGTGCCAGAGCATGGCCCAGGCTGCCCAGGGAGGTTGTGGAGTCTCCTTCTCTGCAGACATTCAAAACCCACCTGGACGTGTTCCTGTGTGACCTGGTCTGGTGATCCTGCTCTGGCAGGGGTTGGACTGGATGAGCTTTCGAGGTCCCTTCCAACTCCTGACATTCTGTGATTCTGTGAAGGTTCCTGGAGGGGCCCTTCAACAGAGGGGCATCTCCACTTAGAGTATTTCAAGGCTGCATAGCACCTAATAGCAAAAATATAAAAATTAAGGTTTTGGTATGTGCTATTTGCAAAGAGCAAAATCTGTGATGTTGACTTATTCACGATGGTGTCTGAAAAGCCATTCAAGGGAAATGATTGTGCACAGTAACAAATATGACTGCCTATGTGGAACCTGGATGAGACAGCCTTTCAATGTAGTTAGACTTTTATTGAAATAAAACCTCTGAAGTCAATGAAC